AACACCAAAAACACCAAAAAAACCCCAAATCCTATAAAATCCCACCAAAATCCCACTGAAATCCCTCAAAATTTCATTGAAATGATGCAAAAATCCCACAAAAATCCCATAAAATTCCACTGAAATCCCACAAAAATCCCGAAATTCCCATCCCTGGAGCTCTTGGAGCTGGCCCAGAGCAACGGGTGAGCCCAAAAACACCAAAAACACAAAAAAAACCCAAAAACCACCAAAATCCTACAAAATCCCACAAAAATCCTGCTGAAATTCCACTGAAATCCCACAAAATTACACTGAAATCGCACAAAAATCCCAAAATTCCCATCCCTGGGGCTCTTGGAACTGGCCCAGAGCAACAGATGAGCCACAAACACCAAAAACACCAAAAAACACCAAAATTCCACCAAAATCCTACAAAATACTACAAAAATCCCATGAATTCCTACAAAAATCCCACAAAATTCCACTGAAATCCCACAAAATTACACTGAAATCGCACAAAAATCCCAAAATTCCCATCCCTGGGGCTCTTGGAACTGGCCCAGAGCAACAGATGAGCCACAAACACCAAAAACACCAAAAAACACCAAAATTCCACCAAAATCCTACAAAATAGAGCAACAGGTGAGCCCAAAACCACCAAAACCACCAAAAAACACCAAAAAACTCCGAAATCCTACAAAATCCTACAAAAATCCCATGAATTCCTACAAAAATCCCACAAAAATCCCGAAATTCCCATCCCTGGAACTCTTGGAGCTGGCCCAGAGCAACAGGTGAGCCCAAAACACCAAAAACACCAAAATCCCACAAAAATCCTACAAAATCCCACAAAAATCCCATGAATTCCTACAAAAATCCCACAAAATTCCATTGAAATCCCACAAAAATCCCAAAATTCCCATCCCTGGAGCTCTTGGAGCTGGCCCAGAGCGACAGGTGAGCCACAAACACCAAAAACACCAAAAAACACCAAAATCCTACAAAATTCTACAAAATCCCACAAAAATTCCAAGAATTCCTACAAAAATCCCACAAAAATTCCAAAATTCCCCAAAAATTCCCCAAAAAATTCCACAAAAAATCCAAAATTCCCCAAACAATCCCCCATAGAATTCCCCAAAAATCCAAAAATCCCCAAAAATTTAGCCAAAAAAATGCCTCAAAAAATCCAAAATTCCCCAAAAATCCCCCAAAATTCACCAAGAAATCCAAAATTGTCCGAAATAGTCCCAAAAAATTCCCCAAAAAATCTAAAAATCCCAAAAAAATCCCCAAAAATTTCCCAAAAAATCC